CTTTTTATTCTAGAACTAATTTGTTTGTTTATAACATTTTTATTTTTGAGACAGAATATCATACTAAGCTATGATGGTCTTGTCCTGTGTTCCTGTCGTCTTGGCGATCGTCGAGTTAGTGGAGCGGGCGCCCGGACGTTTCTATTTCTCCCTATCGCGTGCAAAAGGAGCCCATGGGGTTCTGCTCGCTCTGAGGACTCGTTGAGCATCATATTTTTCTTCTTGGATTTTCGTGAAGAACGATGACCATCGGATAGGTGGTCTTGCTGGAGTACGCTTGACATCCCAACGGTCCATTCACATACGGCACTGGTCCATCTGTTCTTGTTAACACGCAGTACGTATCTGGTCTACCTGATCTTCGACAATTTGATCCAAAGAACGGCATCTTTGGTTTTTGATCGTTGATGTAGATCGGAGCTTAGGATCCCTTCCCTCACTTGATACGGGATACTTCTAGCATCGTCCTTACGGTTGTACATTCTGTAACGCTGAATGACCTTTAATACTGCCTATTTAACGACCAGGTTTCTGAGGCTTCGTTGAGGCGGAAAGAATTGTGGAATCGAACAGGTGGGCACGGGGTTGGGCGTTCCTGTTCTCATCACTGCATCGTTGGTGCTCTTAAAAGCTCCCCAAGCCGCTTGCTTCCTCCTGCTCAAACCTAGAGCGAAGTTGTTCATTATTTTGTTTTCCGACCTAAGTAGTTGTAGCTGGAGCATTCGGAGATGCCTATTTTCTTGAGCATGAATAGGGCATACGAAACCGAAACCAGTTATGAATGTTGTTTTCTGAGGTTTAGTCGAAAGCCAACGTTTCCGTGTTATCAAAGTTGGCAAACATTTGTTCCGCTTGGCAAATGTTTGGTATTATAAGAACGATACGTTCAGCAAGGCGAAGATATGTGATTGCCGACCATTTATTTTACTTTCACGTACAGCCCACGAAGAATCTTTATGTACTGAGTAGGGAGTCCGTGGCTATCCAGGGCTTCCATGACTCATGCTGTCTCAACTAAGTCAAACGCTTTGCATAAATCGATGAAAGTGAGGTAGTGCTCTCTTATACTCTCGTGATACTGCAATGAGCTTTGTAATCTTGTGTATATGGTCCATGGTGTTGAATCATTTTCGAAACCTAGCTTGTTCACATGACTGTACTTCCTCCAGTATCAGTCCTGTTTAGGATGACTCGAGCGAAAACTGTGTAGATAACAGAGAGCAAGCAGGTTGGTTGATAGTTGGTGATATTATTGAGGCCACACTTCTTGAACAATAACATCGTCTTTCTGCTCTTCCACTGAATTCCACAGCTTGCATTCTGACAGGTCACTTCTGAACAGCCGAGCCCCTGTGTGTATGAGAAGTGGTGGAAGGTTCTTCAGGTGTGCAAGTCTTGTCCACTGTAGACCTGATGTTCAATTCTTTACCCACGAAACAACATGTTGGATTTCGGCAGGGTGAACCAGTGGGACGACATATCCATCCTCCTTTATTTTGTATGAGAGCACGAGAAACGTGGTTATTGAAGGGATCCGAGTAGTATTGGTGAATGGTTTTTTCCATTTGCCTTTCTGAAAGATGTAACTGCTCCGTTTATTTTTCGAAGTGCAATGATCTTGGCTTTGTAATTGGCGAAACTTTGGTGGGTTTTGCCAATGATTTTCCCAGTTCGACCATAGCTGGTGCTCTTCACTATTTGTGATATTCTTTTATCGCCTGTCTGCATTGTTTTCCAAATTCGGACGTGAGCTGGTGGTTGCCTGCAGCTTTTGCGATTCCACGCTGGCGTATCACCTCAAGCGTCTCTGGAGAGACACCTGTCTTGGTGAATTTCGAACTCTCGGTTTTCACAGCGCTAACGTGAAGGTGTTGAATGAGGCGATCGTATTCTTCGTCGATGTTATCGACAACGGTATCTTCCCAACAGCCGACTAATGAGTTGTGTAACTCCCAGTTTATAGTGGTTTTGGTATTTCGTTTTTTGAATTTACCGGTTTTTTCTCCTTTCTCCGAGGAATGGAATCTTGCACGAAGGAGGCGGTGGTCTGATCCTGTGTAGAATTTTGGCACAACAGCGACATCGGTTAGACAAAACCTTCTATTTACTATGATGTGGTCTAGTTCGTTATGGTACTCTCCATTGGGGGACTCCCACGTTCATCGTTGAGGATGGAGCTTCTGGAATTGTGACTTACTATAGATGGTCTTGGTCGCCATGATGAACTCAGATAGCCGCTCACCCTGTTCGTTCCATTCTAATCCATGAGTCCCAATGTGGCGTTCTTCAGACGTTCTTTTTGGTCCAATCCTAGCGTTAAAATCTCCAATGATGACCTTGAAGAATGATGGTCTTCTCTGTAGAACTTCACCAAGCCCACATAGAACGCCTCGACTTCTTCTTCCTCATAGTTTGATGTCGGCGTGTAAACGGCGAAGATTATCAAAGCCGCTATTCAGCCGCTTTACTTTAATCGTAAACGTTCGATTCGGGTTGTTGATTGCTCGAATGGATCAATGTTCGTGGCCAAACTCGTGCAAACGAGAACGCAAGCACTACCGACTACCTCTACTGTCCCATGTTCCGAGGAACAGTTCTTCTCCGATGTCATAGACGGCGCTGACTGTATGGCGTCTTTAGTCTCAGCCGGTCCGTTGACGTCGTACTTTGTCCCTCTTCCGTTCATGATCAAGTCTCTTGTCGAAGACTTAGCTTTCCCAAAATGTTTTTTTTGCTATTATCTGGCATTTGTCGTTACCACGCTTATGACGTCGGAGTCTTACGTTTTTTTTAAATTGGGTACATTTGCTCCTATTTGTTTTTCGAAATAGTCTATGTTGATTTCGTTGTAGACCTTCGAAGATTTTATTATTTTTCCTAAATTTTTACACGACTGGTCATCGCACATTGTATGAACTCCGGTGCTCCTTGCATTTCGCTCGTTTTCTCGTATCCATGTGCCACAAAGTTTCGGATTTTGCGTTGAGTTTAGTTGCTATTTCCTGATTTTCGGTCTTTTTGAGTATTTGAATGCTATGTCGGTTGAGTTGATTCTCACTGGCATCGTTTCCAAGTCTTCATCGTTACGGCATTGGTGAGCCCTCTCGTGTTTTGGAAGAAGATTTCAAACTTTCACAGGAGATTATTTTGCGACCTGTGGACGAGGGAGGGGGGTGGGGGTTTTGTGGGCAAGGAGCGTGTTCGAACCAGTACGTTGAGCGTATTAAGCAGTATCACTGCTGCTACTCTATCTGTCTTCATCGGAAGTAATAGGATGGTAAAGTTTTTTCACGTTATGACTGGTGCGATAATTATGTAATACTTGAATGACCCATTCCCGGCTCACGAATACTGCGGGTCACATATCATTTTCTATTCAACTGATTGTCGAAAAGTGTTTTTAAGAGGTTGCTATCAGAGCGTTGGCAGATTATCGCAATTTACGATTGCCGGTCTCTCCAGATCGAAGGGAAGTTTGTCTTACATTATTAGGTTTCTACCAAGATCCTGGAATTAGTTCATAGTCATACGAACTTGTAGTTGAAACTTCAACTCTCTTCTCAACTTCTGTGAGTTTTCGGTGGATGAATCCCTTGTGTTCATTGAATTGGGTCAAACACGAAGACTTCCAGCCACAATCAAGTTGCAAAATACTGGAATGTTAAAGAGTGAGACGTAGGAACAACGACCTCATTTTTTATACCGTCCGTTGTTGCAGGCGCCCTGCAAAACGCCTGTGGAATCGATCCTCGCTCCTATGGCCCACCAACCCTTCCAACCCTCCGTGGTCGCCAAATTGGTACCAGACTCGTCCGGGAGGATAGCAGCACTGGCTCGATACATCGATAGGCCACCTCGAGTCATTGTAAAGCCCAGATATGCCTTCACTCATCTCCAACGGTACTTAATGAAGTCGAATGCATGGCTCAACTCTCAGGGATTGATCAACGCCGAGAGCTTTTTCCCTTATCCTTTATCAGGTGCTTACAGTTCTGTATGCATTTGTGAGAAGACATATTGATTTCACTGCATACGTGTTCGGAAATAGTTTAGGATTTTCAACGTTAAACACGCATTGTACCGCATTGGAAAATTTTCTGATTGAAATAAAGGTCATTGAAATTAGTAAACTGCAAATTTCATTTTGTCATGATGGAACTCTGGTCTTTTCACTCGCAATTCCTCAGTCTCGCTTTTTTCTTCATAGTGGTTCGCTTCGCAAAAGCGAGGCGGCTGAAGCGTGATTTTGTCCAACCTAATACAATTCCGCCAGTGCATAATTGCTGTTTCAGGTCGCTGTGTTCCAGTCGAAACCCGAAAATTTTAACTTTGAGTAGATGCAGGATTAAAGCAATATTTTGTAAAAGCGCTTTATACCCTTAGGACAACTAGCGATGTTCTCCCTACAAATCCGTTAGGTTAATGCCCACCCAAGTGCTCGAATTATCCATGATTTTTTGACAGTTGTGGCGAAACCTGCCAGATCTAACAAATCTATATCGATTTGAATTGAATTTGAATCTTGAATTTGTAAGAATCCAGAAATTATGCATTAGAGGAAATTTGGAACACAGGGAAGAAAGTGCTCCAATGCGGTTTAGTGTCATCATTTGTAAAGAGCCGCTTCCTGAGAATTTATTTGAAAAGAGTTGTGGAGGATATTTCTTTTGCTGCTTTAAGGATAAATGACCTTCACAAATTATCATCCACGTCTTAAGCTTTGAAATTTGATTCTTGGAAATATCGAGAACGTTGTTTGACTTAAACTCTAAACTTTTAACGCAATCCCGACAACCACAAATCTCAGCAATGCATTTGGAGCACTATCGCGTCTTGTCGGACGAGATCTCACCTTCTTCAGTCGCTTTACCTTCCGAAATATGAGTCTTCATGAAACAAGGTGAAGGAAGTAGGAAATTTGAGCTAGAGCTAGTATTTTAGGAGCAAATATATGTAAATTCTAATGGTTTTTTTCATTAAAATTTTCTATGAGCTGAAATATGTTTGTTCAAAGGATCGAAGTCCAAGGCGTTTTCGGTTACATTAAATTTGCAAATTTAGGTCCGTATAGTTCGTGTGAAGCTGAATCGTTTGCCTCAACGGTGACGTCTGGACTTCAATCGTCAGCAAACACAACAGCCTCGAGCGTAACTACAACTGGTACTGGTGCAACAGCTTCCGTTATTACTACGACAGCATTCGCTGTTGAGTCTACAGGTGTTCCTACAACTTATCCTGCACCATCGACAAGCCAATTGTCACGTGTAATGCAGTATGAGGTATCGGAAATGGATGTGGTGAGTGATGTAGTCTAGTTATGTGCTAGATGTGCTGTGATCTTTGCCGAAGTCGTAATCTTTCTGCAGTAAGTGACTAAAACATCGTGGATGCTGCAGTGCAGCTATTGTTTGGCATTAGTTATACGCTCTTTTCTAAACAGGTTATTAAACTGGCTTTAGTTTTGGATTTATTATTACGTGTTGTTTATGGTTTATTTGTTCATTATTTCTTTTGTTGTTTGTTTGTTTATACTCATATCATTCATTACTTTTTAGTTCATCGATTACTTTTACTTATTTTTGCTTTAGACATAAGTGTTAAGATTTACTTTTACCTTACTCGTTTCTTAGGCTTGTTTTGTTTCTTTACATCTATTTGTTGGTTTTCTTTTATTTATTTCTCTGTTTTTTAATGAAGCGAGTAACAAGTTTACATTCTACTATTTCCTATTACAGTTAAGCGAGGAGATATGGCACTATCATAACTCAATTACGCAGTCAGAAAGGATGCTCAATAGGAAATTACATTTACGCGACTTATTGTATTATTCCATATGTCCCGTTTTTCCAAGTGAGTGTCTTTCATTATTTTTTCATTACCGATTTCAAAACATGTCAGTGTTTTCCGAACACACACGTTTTAAAAAATAGTTTCGGAACATAGTTGTGGTTTTCATACTTTTTTCCATAAGCGCTCTGAACGAGCGTAAACGATGTGCTGGTCTGTTGCAGTGTGTGGTTTATACGTGGTTGGATCGTCGTTGAATGGTTTTGGTAACAATACATCCGACATGGACTTGTGCCTAATGATCACAAATAAAGATGTAAGTCTGAATTCTAATCTCTTCTTGTATTCCATGCTCCAAAAGTAAAGTCCATGGAATCGTGTTAGTTGATTTTCTTTCTGAGCTCTAGAACAAAGCTGGATGCGTTATTGTGTTGTAGAAAATCTGAGGCTATTTTGGAATACGCAAAAATCATTCATATGAGAATAACTTATTTATCGCCTAGTTTGATTCGTGTTTATCCGGTTTCTTCGAAGTTTTGTCTGTATGGGTCAACCTATTGTTCCGCATTTCCCCATGTGTCCCTGTTTAGCGGAATTCATGTATTTTAGTCTTAACTGTGGAAAACTAATGTTCTTCATCGTATGGTTCGCATGCCAAAAGTAATGATTGTATAAACTAAATCTTCAACTCGCTTGATTATGGTTTCTTGACCGCTTTCCATTTTAGCTCGATCAAAAAACCGATGCGGTTGTTGTGTTGAACATGATCCTCAGTACGCTACAACATACTGAATGGGTATCCCATCAAAAGTTGATCCTTGCCAAGGTGAATTAGTACATAAGTTAATCGTAGTTTCATTAATACGCGACAACAAGAAATTGTCATAGTATTGTCGATTGATTTCCTTAAGAGTGAGAATGCTTAAGACTTCATCCACCTAGGAATGGCTAACAGCTTATTGTGGTTTAGAAATTATTTGGTTTTCTAATTTTTTTTTATAATCATTCACATTGCAGGTGCCTATATTACGGATTAAATTTGCTGCACCATTTTCTGACATCACAGTCGATCTGAACGCCAATAACTCCGTTGCTATCAAGAATACACATCTTCTTTGTTATTATTCTTCGTGTGAGTTATTTCTCCGCAGTAGAAGCCACAAATGAGCAGCACTTCTCGTTACTCTTTAATCGGAACTGTTTTTGGAGCACTTGATTTTTTTTGCAGTCGATTGGCGAGTTCGCCCGCTAGTATCAGTTGTAAAGGAATGGGCGAAGCGTAAGGGTATCAATGATGCCAACCGTTCCTCGTTCACCAGTTACTCACTTGTGCTTATGGTGATCCATTATCTACAGTGTAAGTGGTAACTATCTCTTCTTCGCATTATATTCCAGAATTTAGTGATCTTTAGAGAAACTTCGTATTACACCGAAGTGTACCATGATTTCCAAATATGGTGTCTCTGATTTTTTCTAAATTAGGTTCTGCGAATTTCACATGGTTAAGATACACTCCATTTCTTCCACTTTTCCCCTTATGTTGCCAACTATTTCAAGAGACATTTGAGACCGTAGTTCTTCACACAGCATGATTGAATAGAATTCGTTAAAGTCATTCTAATACTACGTTTTAGGTGGTACAGAACCAAGTGTTCTTCCATCGTTGCAGCAAATGTTCCCGAGACGGTTTGCGAACAAATGCGATGTCCGGACTTTGAATGTCACGGTGCCTTTGGAATCATCAGCGATATCAGAGTGGCAGTACGCGGGTAAATCAACTCTCGGGGAGTTACTAATCGGTTTCCTCGACTACTACGCTAATAAGTTTGAGTGAGTTGCAATGTTCTTTAGTTTTTATTTCCTTTTACACTACTTTTGTTTTCATGTGAAGTACTTATTCTGTTGTAGATTGCTTAAATGCCATTTTTTGTGGCAGAAATTATAATATATGGTTTCTTTCTGGAATATTCAGTAGTTCCTTAACAGGTTTCTTATCAGGCTGTATACCATATGTGAAGGCTTTCAATATTTGCCATATTTATTGCTTCTGAGTGGTTAGAGTTCCGAGTTTATTTAGCAATAATTACATTAAAAATAACATTAATAATTAAAATTGAATATGCGTAGATGTTTTTATAGAGTATTTCTGTCTACGGTTTTTGGTGAAAGCAAAATCGAGCTCACTATTTTTGAACACTTTGTTTTTTTCGCCTTGATATTTGGCACCATTCTACCTCACGGTATAAACACTTACCCTTTAGTTATGACCGCGACGCTATTTCTGTGCGACTAGGAAAGCGAATAGACCGTGCAGTGATAGCACGACAACGGCCAAATGGCGGATACCAGCAGAATAATACGCATTGGCGATCACAGTGGCGGTGCATTTGCATCGAGGTTTGTTTGTCATGAAAAGTAGTACTGACTTAGCTGGACAATATTTATCCCTATACTTTTGGTACATTAAGGAGCCATTCACGTACTCAAACACTGCTCATTCAATTTACGACGAAATGGTATTTGACGCCATCAAAACGGCATTCCGCGAAGCACATAAAGAGCTGGACGCAACGCGAGATCTGCAATGTTTGCTGAATTGCAAGCCCATATCAGTGAATGCACCAATGGGAGGGTGCGTTGAGTAATCTCGCTTTTTTTGCCTGTTTGCCTACAGTAAAATTATTGGGGGGGAGTGTAGCGCAGTGATTAGAGATGGCTTCCGATACACACGCGGGCGTTGGTTCGATCCTGAGCCCTAGGGTTCACCAAACCTTCTAGCTCTTTGAGGTTGGCAGATTGATATTATACTAGTCTGAGAGGATAGCAGCACTGGTTTGATACATTGCTAGGTCACGGAAAGTTGTTTAGGCCATCTATGCAGTCAGTCACATTGAACGATGTTTAATAAGATCAATGGATGGAGCACTCCTTAGGGATTGATCAGTGCCGAGAGCTTTATCTTTTATCCTTTAGTATTACCAAAAAAGAATATTTTGTCTGTGATCTCATCAACGTGTACGCGATCTCTTCTAGCTTACGTAGACTCTTGCATATTCGTCGATAAATAAGGTAATTGACAAATTGAAGCCTTGTAGAGTTGTCAATGACGCTTTGTTCTATCATCCTAGAGGTATACATATTTTTTCCAAAAGTCACTTTGGTTCAATTCCTCGGGTAGTTAACATTTCATGAAATGAATTGAAGACGAAGTCTGTTTATAAATTTCTTGGCGAAATCCAAGCAGCTGCGACCATTGACAGTATGCTAGAGAAATCGTCGTAGTCTGCCTGACTTTGGACAAAAAATTAAGCGATTCATATGACATAAACCATCAGGACTTCATTGTGGCAGACTAAGAGAACCTTTCTCTTCTTGGCAGTGGTTTGCAAATCTCAGTAACTTTCATTCCACTTTATAGATAGAATTTGCCATGTGTTGAGATATTTGTGCTCAAAGTTGAGATCAGCATTTGTTAGGGGCTATTATTAGTTGGAATCAATTCGTATTGTCATAATGTGTTATTCATGCTTATTCTAACTAATTTTAGCGCCATGGTATACGTATCATCTTATAATTCGGCTCGGGATACGTCTGCTGGCTCGATAACTGGCGAATCACCAACAAATGGTCATTCAAGACGCTCAACACCTCGTGGAAGTAGCTCAGGAAGCAGTATAAATACAGCACACAGTGCAACAAGTAGCAGTAGTAGTTCAAGTTCGAGCGACTATGGTGAGGATCAGGATCATGAACGGTCAGTTGGTAAAAAATTCGAGCTCTCTTGAGCGGTATGAAGTATCCAACAGTTGGAAAACATAGACTGATAAAATTGGTGTGAGGACAAAATTGGTCCCTCATGAGTTCAAATTTGAGATTTTTTTTCCAATTGCGGTTTAACGAAATAGATAGTACGTCGAGTTACTTTCTAATTATTAATCGCCAATATACCGATTTTTTTTCAAGTCATATTGTCAAAATCTCCTAGCTGTCATTTTTTTTGTACCGGTTTATGGGGGCGTGTGTGGCGCGGTGATCGTAGGCCCCCTGCAACATACGTAGAATCGATCCCGGTACCCATGGCCCATCAAGCCTTCTATCCTTCCGAGATCAGCAAATTGGTGCTGAACTTGTCTAGGAGGATAGCAGCACTGGCTCGATACATCGGTAGGCGACTGCGAGTCATTGTTAAGGCTAGATATGCATTCAATCACCTCGAAAAATACTTAATGAAGTCGAATGCATGGCGCATCCCTCAGGGATTCATCAACGCCTAGGGCTTTGGAGCTTTACCAGTTTGTGTCTCTTGTTGTCATTTCTTTCTCGTGTTACATAGGTTAGCAAGCGACAGTCTGAGTGATCTTACAGTGCTACTATGCAGATATACCGCGCAAATGTTGTGAACATTCCAGAACGGTAGATGTCGCAAAAGTGACTGGCGTGCCACTGCGACAGCACTCGAAGTCACTCAATCGTCGGATGTCACGAACGAACAGCACAGTGTCTTCGTGCAAGCCTGTCCCATCGCCACAGATTGCGGTCACGGCAGATGAACAGGGAATCGACTAGTCAGTCTGATCACCCAAATTTCTATTAACGCTTTCTCCACGATCTCAATTCTCTTGCCTCCAGCAACGTTGTGTGATATCAGAATCGCGTACGGTAATTATTTCGGGATCATTTCGCCTTATGTCTTTCTATCTTCCATTCTTTCGATTTAGTACTCTTTTGGTGTCAACGTAGTTAGATTTACATCATTTTTCACTCTTTGTTCGAATAAATTCTATCTAGTTTTATTTTTCGTTATATTAAAACTTAGAAATTCGGTCTCGTCGTGATCAATGTGTCTGCTGTTACGAGTTCATCTGCAAACAAACCTCTTCGAAGCAGCAGTTCATGGGACCACGTTGTTGACCGAGCAAAAAAAAATTGAACATATGCACGATAACAAAAATAGTCTTAAGATAGTTATTTAATCCACTTTTTCACTTTTATTTCCTTCACAATCACCACCACCACCATTACTGCCTTTACATTCTCCTATTGTTTTCAACTCTTCTTTTTAATGGATGCATCTCTGCGGTTTACATTTGTTGTTTTATCTTTCGGCGCTACTCTTTCTAATGGGAATCATCATTTATATTTTTTTTTCTCTCCAGTCTTTTCAATTTGTTCTATGCTCACTTATCGCATATCTCCATCACTCAACTCAGTCCACTATTTAAGTGCTTTTTTTTAATCGTCATTTTTCAAAGTATTACTGTTGTGCCAGAATCTGAATGTGACACAGGTGTAGTTGAAGTTGTACTTTCGTACTAGCGTTTGCGTGTTGCCTGCCTGCCCTGAATCTCATTTTCCATTGTTCCATCGCGAACGTTGTGAATCGCACTGAGTTCTACATTTTGGCAACTTTCTATTCTTCTTCATTCTCCTTATCGTTTTTTGTCTATGAAATCACCAACACAACGGACTCGATCGTGTCTTTCCTCATGCAGGTGTCATATGTCTAAATGTGTTTTCTTTTCCTTTTTCCTCTCTATTGTGAAGCTTAACGCGTTGCGTGTAGTTTTTGTGCTGCTGCTGATGATTCTGTGATTAGGCACTTTAGATCCGTTATGTAGCATGTGCATGACACTTTAAGTTTCTCTGATACTATTGTGTCATGTTTTGTTGTTTTTCATTTCACTGCTCATTCAAACCACACAGGATGGCTACGTTACGCCATTTTAAATAGAGATCATGATGACACTTGAGAGCAAGATATGCTTTATGTCTGTTACTAGTAAGTGTGATGTGTTGCTTGTTAGTAGTGCCGCTCACGGACATCGCGCTATCAGTGATGGCAGGCTCTTGGTGAATGTCATCCGTCTATGTTTCTCCATTCTTTCTTTTTTTTGGTCGAGATACTCTCATTCGTTCTGCCGATGATGTAAAATATGTTTATTCTTTCATTTCTCGCTAGTGTTTACCTTCCTAGTAGATCCATTGACAGATCGTAATCTTGACCGCACGTCAATTCCATTTAAGGCCGCGATGGGTTGTCGTGATATTTGTATTGTATGGAAAGATTTTGTGCACAATTACTCATGCCAGTGTTGACGATTGAAATTTACGGTTTCAGGTTTATGAATAAATATTTGAAGTGATTTTTCTCTCGTGAACAAAGCATTTGTTTTCTATGAATGTTGCAGTCTTGATAAGTATAAAGGATAAAGCTCTCGGCGTTGATCAGTTCCTGAGGGATGCGCCATGCATTCGACTTCATTACGTATCGTTGGAGATGACTGGATCCATATCTGGCCTTTACAACAACTCGCGGTGACCTACCGACGTACGGAGCCAGTGCCGCTATCCTCCAAGGGAAGTCTGGTACCAATTGGCCGACCCCGGAGGGATGGAAAGCTTGGTGGACCATGGGCGCGGGGATCGATTCCATGTGCGTGTCGCAGTGGCGCCTTCCACCACCAGTCTTGATAGTATTAAAGAAAAGATAGTTTAAAAATTGTTGAAGACTTCGACATAATCTAATCAATGTCCTACTTATTAGATAAACGAGGTTGTAGCAGAACTTTTACCGGACTGATGTATCGGTACCTTCGCTTTCTTCAAATCCGGTATGATACGAGTAGATTATTCGTAGTCGCTCATGCTGGCGATGTAGGTCTTCGTTGTCGCATCGGGTCGAATCCAGTGCAATGAAGTACCGCTCAGATAGAGGACCTCACTGGGCAATATCCTTTTCGACCTTGATTTAGTATAAGCTACGAATTGTATCTGATAAACGTTTCGATTCCCGTGTGGATAACTTGCAACAATGAGTGGAAGGTCTTCCCGTTAGATGGACTCCATTATGTATTTGTGAAGCAACAAATTTGGCCTTAGACGGTGTCTCGGGTGTTGTCCTAGTTTGTGAGCGTAGTCTAAGCGAGAATGCGTAGGCAGTACGAATCACGTTGAATGCGATATATTGAAGTTCTTTCTGCAATTTAATCTTAATGTAATTTTTTCTTGAACTGGTTCACCATAATATTAACTTTTTATTTACTGTCCACCACAATTCTTCGTGGCAGGGTTAGATTAAAAATCGTGCCACAATGGTGTTGAGAGAAAAGCGGAACAAAGGGCTCGTATGGCGTGTTGGTGAGCGCGTTCGCCCCCGGAACGGGTAATAGTGTGTTTGATCCCAATTGTAGACACCTGCGGTCCGAAGTTTTGCAAATATCTCGGCACCATTGCGGTTTGTGGGCCATAAATATAGGTCGCTTTTGTCAATGCCTCTCAGTGGAAATACATCCAGTAGTTGTGATAGGAGATAAGAACCAGATAAAATTGTGATGTGAAGCTAGCAGCCTTAATTCTCCTGAATCCTAACTATAGCCCATCGAGTTGTGGAGAACTCAATTCTTTGCACTTTATTCGACCGTGTATTCTCATATGAATGAGAACGCCCAAAAAGCTCAATGAAGGAGTAAGTCAGGCATGGCGTAAAGATTCATTATTTTTATATTTTATTTTATTTTGTAATTTATATTTTATTTTTATTTTCATTATTTATCAATACTTCTGTATGGCACCGTATTCACAGTGGCCCCTTGCGGTATTTTTATAATGGGGAACTCTATTTTAGCGAAAACACGTCCAGTCTAACAGTTTGTGCTGCATTCTGGTTGACAAATCTCGGCTTGTTAAGGTGTCTCGTGATTTAGATGTTCCTCATATTTCAGAGTTTTAGAATAATCATTGCAGATGCTAATAAGTTCAATGATGCTGAGATATTTGCAAAACTCCGGACCGCAGGTGTCTGCGGTGGGGAACGAACGCGCCGTTGTCCTTTCCGGGGAGTAACGCGTTCACCACCACACCATGCGGGCCCTTCGTTTCGCCTCTCTCTCAGCTAGTTCTATCAATCTCAGCCGTCAGTAATCACCCGTCAGCGGGATTGATCTAGGGAGCCCTAATCGGCAACAAACCCAGTTAAGCTGCGGCTCTAGTTATAATAATAATTTTAACTTATTATTTACTGCCTACTACTTTTAATGGCAGAAGATGCTAATATTTGTAGTCACATGTGGTTATCATGATGATAAGAGTCTTCGAAAGGTATAAATAACGATGAACACGTTTCCAGTGTTTATTCGCACTTTCATTTCTAATGTCACTTACTGCAGACCCACCATCAGGAGCCGTACCAGCGACCGGTGGTACATTGACGCACAATCTCGTCAATAGTGGAGCTGAGAAGGTTGTTTTCAAAGTACGAAGTTCGAACAATAACGAATATCGCGTGAAACCAGTGTTTGGATTTGTGGAACCTAGTGGAACAACGTCGCTGGAGATCACACGTCTGGTGAGCATGTTATTTCCGGTTATAGAGGCTCTGTAACCTTCTTAAGTATCCATGGATTGAAATTCTCTTTAACGATCGTCATTTATATCAGTAGCATTTGAAAGATCTGTACTGATTTACAATTGCTTCTCATTACTAATAAAAGATAGGACTTTCATCCTGTACTTTTCTCTAGTGGTACTTCCCCAGTGGTTTTGGTAGTGACGGTGCGTCTGTTGGCGTTGGGGTGATAATAAGCGTAACTGCAACAACGCTGCGACGAATACGAATAACTCGTGATGTAATTGTTGTGTGTATATAGGATTTACTGTCGAATTGTACAACTATGACATATTTATATTATTTATGCTAACTGTTACAATACCAAGAACTACCATCGTTCTGGTATCAAAGTCGTATGGTGGCAAATCACCCTCTGATCCACAAGGGCTGCGACTGCCTGTGGTGGTGAAGACCTGGGGCAGACTTTGGCCAGGCTGGTCTCGGGATTCCAGGGAACAACAATGGCCTAACCAGCAAAACTCCGAAATGGTGGAAATTATGCTGGGGCCTGCACAACTAGTGAGGACGGATCGTTCAAGTATTAAGTAAATAATTGTTACAAGGACTGCCACGACCGACTTTCTATTAACCTCGGCATTGATCAAGTGATTTTCTTCGTATTTTTGTTCAGCAAACGCGAGGTGTTATTATTCTCCGTTCACGATTAAGCTGACGTTTCGGCGGATTTCGCCTTCCTCAGAGCCTGGAAAGGTCAAGTTGATAGCAATCTACTCGGCCAGACGCCTCCATAACCAAACAAAGAAACCCCAAACCAAGATTTCAATCACTTTGAACACAGCTTTGCACACACACAGCTTCCTATGAGGTTTGCACTAAGTATGTCACGTAGAGACCAACCGCACAGAAATCACGTGGAAGTATAATGTGTTCCTCATATCAGAAAAGCAGTTTTATATACTGCCCTATATCACGCGTGATAATGAGGCATTCTTCCCTGCGGTTCATTTTCGGATTTCTGGAATTAATCCAGAGTGCCTCGAGAGTTTTTCGCGCCTGTGTTCTTGATTCGCGTGCGAGGATCGTGACACATACTTCAAAGTCGTCCCCGTTATGTCTCTGGGTCAAGAGATCTCTGACCGCCGAAACGTCAGCTTAATCGTGAACAGAGAATAATAACACCTCGCGTTTGCTCAACAAAAATACGAAGAAAATCACTTGTTACAAGGACGTTTCGCGTTGTCCTTTTCCAGATTTTCAATTAGCATAACAAACTCTCCAAAGAGTTAGTATGAAGCTTTAAGCACCAACTATAAGTGGACGATCCCTGTATGAGTGCGATATAACTTGCGAGTATATAAGAAGTTCTAAGTACCAGTTTATTGAGCGTTGTTTTCACATCAGGAGCAGATAGCACAGTGGTAGTGATGCCGGCCATCACTATCACTGTGCTTCTTCGATCACGCTTCGGGCACCGCGAACCTCTCATTCCTCCGGGGTCGAGGAACTGATACCGAGCTCGTCCGGGGCAAAATCACCCTCTGCAATCCAAATATTGATCAGCATTCCACGACATTCAAGATGGAATAAAAATCCTAACAGCCACACGTAAAAGTTGGAAGACCTTAATGGATGAAGAATGCGAGAAAACGAATCGAGTACTAGAAGTGCTGAGATCCATGGAGAATACGTGAAGACGCGTCGTATAAAATAAAGAAAAATTTCATATAGTTTTCACCACCATTATGATTGGAAATCCAAAGCAATGAATTTTTTTTGCGTGGTCGTCTATCGCGAGCGTGTTTTCATAAGGAACAATGACATGAGCCAATTCGTTTGTGATTTAGTACCTTTCTTCTCTAACAAGTAGTGGAGCTAATATATTTCCTAGCAATTGAAGCCGAAACTGATTCTGATGAAGGCATCTTACTTGGTACTTGGACACTTGAATGGCTCGTCCTCACCGGTTGTGTGGGCCGAAGCACAATCTCCCCTTTTCGGAGATTTGCTGGTTAAGCTATAATGGTTCCCTGGAATCCCCAGGTTAACTTGGTCAAATTCTACCCAAGTCTTCACCACCACAGGTAGTCGCAGCTCTTGTGGATCAGAGGGAGATTTGCAACCATGCGACTTTGATACTAGGACGGTGGTGGATCCTGTTATTGGTTTACTCTTAGCTGGGCTTCCTGATGGTAAACGCCGGACTCCTTGTCAGCTTGGGAGACCCTGCCAGGGTATGAATCCCCCGCTGTACATCGCAGTCCGACACCCAGGAACACCTCCCAGCCACAATGGCCAGTAAACAATTGCAGGGATGAAGGCATCTTAATTACCTAACTCAATTATAATAATAATAATATAATTATAATTATAATTATTATAATTATAATAATTAAAATATTAATAATAATATTAATATTAATAATAATAATAATATAATAAATAATTTATATTATATTATAAATATTATTATAATACAACCACAACGTTGCTGAGATATTTGCAAAACTCTGGACCGCAGGTGTCTATGGTGGGGAACGAACGCGCTATTATCCTTTCCGGGGAGTAACGCGTTCACCACCACACCATGCGGGTCCTTTGTTTCGCACTTCTCTCAGCTATTTCTATCGATCTTTTTGCCACAGCAATCACCCGTCAGCGGGGTTGATCTGGGGAGCGCAATTCGGCATAGAACCCAGCATGGTGTGGTGGTGAACGCGTTACTCCCCGGAAAGGATAATAGCGCGTTCGTTCCCCACCATAGACACCTGCGGTCCAGAGTTTTGCAAATATCTCAGCAACNCCACCACACCATGCTGGGTTCTATGCCGAATTGCGCTCCCCAGATCAACCCCGCTGACGGGTGATTGCTGTGGCAAAAAGATCGATAGAAATAGCTGAGAGAAGTGCGAAACAAAGGACCCGCATGGTGTGGTGGTGAACGCGTTACTCCCCGGAAAGGATAATAGCGCGTTCGTTCCCCACCATAGACACCTGCGGTCCAGAGTTTTGCAAATATCTCAGCAACGTTGTGGTTGTATTTCGCTTAGTAACCTGCCATGAAAATTATAGAAGGCAGAAAACAAAACGTTAAACATTATTATAATATTATATTATAATATTATTGTATTAATAATTATATAATATTATATATAATATTATATATATTAGATTATTAATATTATTATTATATTATTATTATATTATATTATAATATAATATTATACATATATTATATTATATTATATATAATATTATATTATTATAATTATATTATATTATAGTATTATTATTTTAATAATTAATAATTATTAATATTAATATAATAATATTAATAATAATATTAATATTATAATTATAATTATAATTATAATTATTATAATTATTAATTATAATTAGAATAGTTAGTACGTTAAAAGGGGTATGTTTCACTTAAAGGAATTCTATGTTGACTATTACTACATTGCTATTATTGTACAGGCTGGACCAGCCAAAGAGGACAAGATAGTGGTTCAGTTCGCTCCGTCTCCAGCTGATGCCCCAAGTGCTTCGAGCGCTTTCAACGCAGTGCAACCGACAGGAAATGTGACAATCCCAATCAGTGCTACATAAATAATCAGGCCTATGGAAGATTTCTGCAGTTGTACCTCATCGACAAATAAATCGATGCAGGCTTTTCATTTCTGAAGCGGTGTTAAATTTTTGCTTCGTGTTTGGAATCATATGCCTTGGTTTTGATGCCTCTTGTGCGAAAATAATGGCCGCTTTCACACTTAGAACAGCATATTCCAGCTCATAGTGAATTCTAATAATTGAAATAATTACCTCATTGAAGTTCATATGTCTAACACGAGTGGTGTGTTTTAAAATTCCATTTTTGAAGAAAGTGTAGGTCTACACAGTTTAATTACTCTATTGGTCGTGAAGAGGCGTGTGTGACGCTGTGGTCGGAGGCGCCATGCAACACACGTGGAATTGATCCCCGTGCCCATGGCCCAGTAAGCCTTCAATCCCTCCGGGGTCGGCAAATTGGTACCAGACTTGTCTGGGAGGATAGCAGCACTGGTTCGATATATCGGCAGGACGCCACGAGTCACTGTGAGTGCCAAATATGAATTCAATCTCTTCCAAACGATGTGCTTAACGAAGTCGAATGGATGGCGCATCTCTCGGGGATTAATCAACACAGAGCTTTTTCTATTAGGTCATGAAATCGTCAAAAATTATCGGAAATCAAGAACGATTGCGAATGTGTGAAAATATTTAGTTATATTCGCGAGCTAACACGAAGTTATTTTTTAAAAAAAACTGTTTATTGTAACAGCCACGACCGACTTTCTATTAACCTCGGCATTGATCAAGTGATTTTCTTCGTATTTTTGTTCAGCAAACGCGAGGTGGTATTATTCTCCGTTCACGATTAAGCTGACGTTTCGGCGGATTTCGCCTTCCTCAGAGCCTGGAAAGGTCAAGTTGACAGCAATCTACTTGGCCAGACGCCTCCATAACCAAACAAAGAAACTCCAAACCAAGATTTCAATCACTTTGAACACAGCTTTGCACACTCACCGCTTTCTATGAGGTTTCCACTAAGTATGTCACGTAGAGACCAACCGCACAGAAATCACGTGGAAGTATAATGTGCCCCTCACATCAGAAAAGCAGTTTTATATACTGCCCTATATCACGCGTGATAATGAGGCATTCTTCCCTGCGGTTCATTTTCGGATTTCTGGAATTAATCCAGAGTGCCTCGAGAGTTTTTCGCGCCTGTGTTCTTGATTCGCGTGCGAGGATCGTGACACATACTTCGAAGTCGTCCCCGTTATGTCTCTGGGTCCTATGCGTTCCTAGCGGGGTATTTGGTCTATTTTTGCCGGCTAGGTGTTCTTTCATGC